CTCCGGTTTATTACTATACAAAGGTCCAAGTTCTCTAGGGCTTCTTGAGCACTTCTTCAAAAGGTCAAACGAGAGAGCGATAGTGTCTAATGGATTCTCATACGTTCGTTATCAAAGCAAACAGATTCTGTGCAATTATAAGCAATCGGAAGAATAACGCAGAATATTCATGGGAACTGATAAGACCCAGAGGATCTGAATGGAGCAAAAAAAGCTTAAAGCCAGGTTATATACAGTACAGCTACGGACTTGACTGTCACAAAGTGTTTTTTTTCACGCTGACCTAAAAGCCTTGTTACCTGTGTCGAGACCGTGGAGGCAAAAATTAGCGTGACCTTCCCCAAACCCTCAGGTTTCTAAAAAAGTCAGAAAATAGTACCTTAAAACACAGATAAGAGCATTCACTTCGAACAGATAAACACGGCTTTTGTGGTAAAAAATTTCAGGTCCTAACTTTTTCCTCAGAACATTCCTCTTCTTCGAGCATTTACCGTACTACTGGTTCGCCGAGGAGTACGCAGCAATAAACAGTAGCACACTGAGCGCTCCATTCTATAAGGGTTGTATGACATCTAATCCTTTTGGTGTGGCGGGAACCTGGTAGTAAGTAAGAATGCGTGAGCCAGGGGGAATGGGGCCAATTCAGGGGGTGGGGTGTGTGAGCCACTTAACCTGTGGCAAAAGTTTGGGCCTTAGTGTCTGGTGTCTGGCCTTGTGAAGGAGACGCAGAGGAGCAAAAGGATTAGATGTCACAAGACCAAAGATTTGAGCAATAACATGGTAGAAAGCTACCTTTCTGTGTACGTGCACAAATGGAAGTAACAATGTGAAATGCCGAAAAAGCCACTCGCTCACCTTTTTCTGAACAGAGCAGGGTTCAATGAAGGCTAGCACCGTCCATACAACCATCTAGCGAAATAGCATGACAGGGCTACCTGGCGAAAAAAAAAGTTAGATCAAATTTACTAAGCTATAGGAGAGATAGAATCCTTTCAGCAAAGCCATAGAACCATTTGCTTTGCCCAGTTCTCAACTTGTAGAAGATGTATGAAGTTTGTAACATTCTTCACACTAACCTCAAACTGACTTTCATCCTTTCATGTTGCCGACGTGCATTAGGAGAGGAGAGGACTCCAACGCAAGTCATCTAGGGGTTCCTGAAATATTTAGAACAGCGGTTTTCCAGAAATGTCAGTGTGGTTATGGCAGAGCCAATATGGCATTTAGCGAATCAAACACAACCGGCCAACCTGTCTTCGGCACCCACATCGATAAACACCAACATCCGACTAAAGCATGTGAAGTAGAGCTGCGCAGCAGCTAAATGTGTAAGTTTTAAAAACACAACTTTGCATTTTGATGCGCGATGGGGTTTCCCCAAGCTTCTAAGTCACAAATAAACACGCGCTCGTTCTATACGGGGACAAGGGATACACGGGGTTTCCAGCGAAAGGTTTCATTTCTATTATACTGTGCAGATCAAAAATATCGAACAAGCTGACAAGGGATGGGAGCGCTGAACTTTGATCAGCAGCCTTCAAATAGCAGAATAAAAAGGGGTTAACATTAACCAGAGGAAAATCATCAGTACCTCAACCGCGCCCACTAAAGCCATTTCCCTTAAAAACCTCGTCAAAATACCAAAAAGGAAAATTGAAAAAGCAAGTCTCTCTACCACTCCACTACGACACCTCAACTTCTGCCACGACGATTCCTTCTAATAATCTCAAATACTAACCCCTTTCCTACAACCATACCGCACAAAAACCACCGAAGGTACGAGCCTCGCGTCGGTAAATTTATCACCAGACGGTTGACCCTCTTTCTAACTACATGCGTTAGATAAGTACTCATTCTGAAAAACTCTAAATTCACGAACACAATCGCAAGGAATATCGCCCGCGAGATGAGTAGCATTTTGTACAGCGAAATACTGGGCTAATGCTCCAGCCAACCACGGTATCCATTACTGTTTCAAGGCAGACTTTGAATAATTTTTTATCACAAATGTAAATACAACTCTTCATTTATTATTGTATACATATATACTTATCTATGCGAATATGCAAATAATTTCTCTATGAAGGCACTATATCACCAAGAAGGAGCGTTTTTCATAAGGCCTACTACAACTATTCAAGCACTTCGAAAGAACATCGTAAAGTACATATTGTGATTTACCCAACGAGTAATGCCTCATAAATATCACCAAAAAAGGAAGGAACGAAAAACTCTAGGAGCACTTCAACGAAAAGTGAAATAAACTAAAAACGTAAGGCACGACGACTAAGCAACAAGGAAGTGAAAAACACTGAACGTCAGAAGACACGCACAAAAATACCTGTTAATTCATAGGCGATGAAGGAAAACACAAGAAATATTCAAAACAATTGCACTTGTAAGAAACTTTACAAAAATTCTCATTCAGTCGTTCTCAACAGCCTCCAGTTGCTCCAGATCACTCGGATCGAGTCTTGGAATCGGCTTTCCTAAGAATAGCGAAAAATGTTAGTTTCATAGGAATTCTATAACACTGACAGTTGAGAAAAAAAGGGGACAGTCAAGAGCTGAACCGGAAACTAACCGAAGAAAGCTTCAATCTTCTTAATTATAACAAGTGCTTCACGACTGTCCACAAAATTGATTGCTATGCCTGCCTTTCCGAATCGACCAGTTCTAAAAAGACCTTGAACAGAAAATCGATGTTTGCATTAAGGCTTCAATGTATCCAGATGGTTGTAGAAATTCTAGCGAAAATCCTCCTTTTCCATGAAATAGCCCCTTTACATAGACAAATTGCTCTTTACATGAGGTGACTGTTATCTTCGGAGAAACTGATTGACAGTCACACTTTGGTAATCTCCAGGGGCGGAAGTGGTGTAGTGACAAGTGGCGCTCACCACGCGAGCGGTCCGGGGATCAAATCCTGGGTCGTGAGTCGCCCGGGCCAACCAAGCCTTCCATCCCTCCGGGGTCGGTTAATTGGTACCAGACTTGTCTGGGAGGATAAAAACACTGACTTGTACATCGGCTGGCCCCCGCAAGTCATTGTATAGGCCACATCGCATTCAAACGCCACTGCGAATGTACAAATGGAAGTAGAATGCGTGCCGCATCCCAAAAAGGGATTGATCAACGGCAAATGCTTTATCCTTTCCTTTACATTATCCAACAAGATTAGGTAATTTATCGAGAAGGGGTTTACACACCTTAAGAGCCTTCACGCATAGAAAATTACATTATGACCAGTTCCGCTTGGAGGAAGGGCGGTCGAGGACAAGATGCGGAGACAGCCTAGGCGCAAAAGTTCAAACGAAAAACGAATTGATAACGGAAAAATTGCCTAAAGCCATTTTTTCTTTTGGTCAGGCTTGGTTCCCCTACGGATCCTCAGATTGCCTTCATAGAGCTACCCTCTTTGGAATCACGATTCTGGGATCACAAGGCAAGATTGCAAAAACCAAAATTCCCCTTTGCGCCTGTTTTCTCTATGCCGGACGTCTCTGAGAAATTCTGTTCGATTTGTTCTGTTCTATACATTTCACGACATGTACATCGTCCAGACGCCATTCATAGGTGAAAAAGGGCATTAAGGACACGGAACCATTTGTTTTCAGCCGCACCTAGTACCGTCATTTACAAGGAGATTTTGTTCGTCAGATCCAGAACTTGAACCTCATTCACTGTATAGTATAAGTGCATCCCCTATGGTAAGTCCAGTCTCGGCCTCAAGAAATTCATTCATTCCTTCAAAAGCGTCATTGATGTTTTCAGACAGTTCAAAATTCCCAGTTTATGTTCTTCTACTTCAGCATCCTCAACACCACTAATCAGAGTTGAACATTCAAAGCTCGCCGTCGTCGTCCACGTCTTCTACATTAATATACAGCATAGTTATGACTATTCATCATCCAGTTTCTTTCTCCGAAAAATCGCTATTGTAGGTATCAAATTATATGAAATACTAAGCAGATGCTCAAAATCAATCACTAAGTTGAACTTATTCAGATAATGATTCGCCTACCGTCCAATACGGTGAAGATAGGTGTCGTAGTCAGGTTCAGACTGATTCTCATACAACAACGGCGGATCATAATTGATGACAATGGTTACTTGGGTCACATCGATACCTAAAAAATGGTAAATATGCGTTCACTTGTATACACGAAAACCTTGTAGAGAACTAGTGGAGTGATTAAAGGCTCGTCTTTGCCCAACGGAAAGCTTTTCTGCTTTGTGGAACCTTCCTTATCAAAAAACATTCAAATGATCTTCAGATTAGATGCAAAAATTTCGATCTGCCGAGAAAATCTCGTCACATCTTTTATCGTAATCACTTAACCTTCCCGTTACTCCATAAGCCGGCTAATACGGTAAGTGAGCATACTATTTCTTTGCGGGCCTAATCACTCAACGTAATCTCAAAGGTAAACTTCGCTTGACATATGAACCGCCAAGATATAATGCATCCACTGTCGAGACAACCAGTTCAAACAAAGGGAAT